GGAAAGAGTACAAAAAAAGCAGTCTTGGATAAAAGTCTGTGATAACTGTGATCGAGAAACGATTGCATCACTTACCTTCTGATAGTCTTTTGCAATAAAACGGCTTTGTAGTGTGTGCCATCTTCCGTTAAATCCGCACGAAAAGAGCGGTAAGTTAAAAAAAGAGCATTATGCAGCTGTGAATTCGATAATTAGTATTTCAGTGTTTAGAGCACGGAGGACTTTATGGTTCCTTTTAACAAAAGTGATGCTTGAATTCGAGGAACATCACTGTCGATATTTTTATTAATAATGGCCTTCTTTAACAGGAGGAAACTGCTGCTGATAATTTTCTTTATAGTGAGTGCAGTTAGGTTTAATAAGGGGGCATGTGCTAACCTTACTGGTAGATGCCTATATTTAAGGGTTTGTTTGTATCTGACTTATTTTCTTGGCTTCAGGATGGATGTGGAAATGAAGCACATAACACCATGTATGGTGTTATTCAGGATAATTATGGTATTGGTAATTATAGTATATGGCTATCCTGTGTCAGGTTAGCCTGATCTGTTTTCAGAAGTAGCACTCTGAACTGTTCCCCTGTGTGGGCAAGCCTTTTAAGGCTTTACAAAGACTGTATTTATTGTATTACGTGAATGTGGAGTTGACCAACCAGTAAGTAAAACATTACATAAATTCTTGCATGGAAATGGGAATTAAAATTTCAGCGATCAAGTGTCTTCATAGAAGGAGCAACGTTGGATGTGAAAAACAACAGTGGTGAATGAACAGCTGTGTGTGGAAGTAGATGTGAAATATTTCACAAATTAAATTGTTTTCTGCACTGATTTGTATTGGTTGGATGACTAGGGGGAAAAAGCTAAAAGAAAGGATATCGGAGTCGAGAGCCACTTTCCTGAAAAGGTATCCACTGGTTTAGTGATAGCAGTAAAAGGTCATCCATTGTTGCTAACTCACTGGTAGTGAGTGAAATGCGTGTATGTAAGAGGCAAAAGAGAAGACACATCTGAGAAAAGGTGCAGAGAAAAATCACATTTACCTTTACTGTACCCTCCTTGCTTTTTCATTTCTTGTGTTCTTTAGCAGATACCACTACTTGTTTTCAGCTGTATAATTTGTGGTACAAGTAAATCAACTTTTGATTTGGCTAAAAGGGGGGAAAAAACTGAGGTGTTACACAAAACATTCTGAAGCCTCTATCTTTGTTGCCTTGTCTTAAATTATTTTAGCGCATGGAAGAATATGGATCTTCTGAATTACTGTATCATATGTAGGTGTTTCAGAAATAAGGGTAAGGCATAGGGGACTTAAGCTCTCTGCAATTTTCTAGTGCTTTGAATAGTGGGGAAACTTTGTGGGCTATTACTACTTAAGAAAGTGAAGATGACTTCTAATCATAATCCCATTGGCTGTATATCCTTTTTATCTCCACTATTTTAGCAGTGACAAGTCGGAGCTTAAATTTCTAAGTTCTGAATTAATAACATTAAAAATGTAAGGTGGGGTGAACATCTTTGGAAGTAACTCATCTCCAGTATAAGATTCTTTATCTTCTTCCTCCCCCACATGTTTTTCAGCTGAAGGAGTACAATAAACTGAAGGTGTGCCGTGGTATTCTTCGGGAAAGGCAGAAGACAGTTTAAACCATGGCAAGCCAGGTAAGATGATTTGTTCGGAAATTCAGGCTTGCAATGCCTAAATGGGTTCCAGAACCATACTCAGAATTCATAGTAAATGTAAAGCTGAAATAGCTAGCTTGCTCTGAGTTGGGTGTTCTTTTAGTCCTACAATTTCTTCCAGTAATTCGGTAATTGGTGGCTGTCCTCTGGACACTTAATCATGTCAACTGAAGCAGGTTGGGGGTATAACATTAAGCTTTGCAGTTTGGATTATTTGAGCATGAGTTCTTCTGAAGGACCTTGTGCATAACACTCTCTATATAAGATATATGTAGAGGTGTTGTAGAGGAAGAACATTAAAGCCTGCGTAAGTAAAAAATGCTGTGAAACACCATTCTTCTTTTTGGAAATATTCGTTCTTCAGAATCTTAAGTGAGGGAGGCAACCTGTGTTACGCAGCTGTTGTTTCCCTCTTTTGTGTAGTTGCCCAGTTCCTTTTTAAACTGTGGTTTTTGGGTTTTTGGTTTTTCTTTTTTTTTTTATATTTTTTTCTCCAAGAGGTGCTTTTTATGCCTCTTTCTTCCTGGCCTTGCGTCTGGGTTTGAGTTTTCCCTCAGCCAAGCTAGTGCCTGATCCTGGTCTGCTTTCTCCTTACGTTCCATTCATCGGCCTCCTGTTGTTGTTCCTGGCCTGGGAGAGTGGCTCACAGCTGGGTAGTGAGGAGAGGCCTCTCTCATAATAAGAGAAGAAGAATCCCTGGGTGAGGGGAGATAGGGACAGCTGAGATCCCTTCTGGGCAAGAGTGACGATTCCCCCGCCTCTTCATAACTCAGACTGTGCTGCTGCAGGGTTTTTTTGAGTCCTGGAGCTCAAGTGGAACGCAGTCCAGTCCTGAAGCTAATTAACATTTAGGATTGGCCAACATCGAAGGGCTGTCTGCTTTTTCCCTAATTCCAAGAGGAAGCTGTCAATCCTTTAGCCAGCTTGACAAGTCAGGGGAATATGGCTGTTCATACAATCCTTTGGCTCTGTTATTTTTGCCAGGCGTTTTCCCCAGAGGCTGCTTTCCCTCATGGGAGGCGGAGGGAGAAATGGGACCCCAGGCTTCTTTCAAGGGCAAGGTGAATATGGGGAAATCACCTGTGGTGATGGGGAGTGGGAGGGAGGAATGTAAATAAGGCTAAATACTATAAAGGTGATTTTTTTTTTTCGCCCACAGGACTTGATGGCGAAAAAAAGAGAATGCCTCCAGGCTTACAGCTGGTGGAGAACGCCACAGAAGAAAAGGAAGAAAAAGAACAAAATAAAACCCGGAAGAATAGAATTTGTCCCTAGTAGTACTTCAGCAAGGTAAAGACCTCTTGAAATGAGAAGCTCTGTCCTCTTAACTGTTTAAATTGATAGTGACAAGTGAATGCTATCACTTATTTTTAAAATCCTGAAATGGCACATCTGATGCCTATACGCTAAGTATTGTGTATGGAAATATATTGCCAGTGGAGTAATGAACTCTCTTTTAGTTCCTCTACTGTAATCACTGAGAAGTGGTGACAAAATAGTCATAGCTCTTTTGAATCATGGCTGTAACTTGAGTTAATGTTTTTTCTTGGTATTTTTGTGCCTCCTCCCCCTCCCCCCCCACGCCCATTCAGACAACAAATATTTCTTAAAACCAACTTCTAAAAGTGTTTTTCTAAAATGAGTCTTTGAAATGCTGCCTTTTTTTTTTTGTGAAAGCAGTAGAATGGACCCAGAGAAATTGAGACCTTTATGCTGGAGTGATGGCATTGCAGTTCTGCATGTTTCTCAGCAGTTCTGCAGTTAATACTCTTTTTTTCAGATTTTGTCTCCTTATTTGTCCAGTGATAACTACCTGCTGACATGTTAGGTACCTTAATACTGCAATCAGTGACCCTAGTCTCAGAGTTGACAATTGTTCTCTTACCTTTTTGAAGACCGGATTATTCGATATTTGTTGGGGAGCTTACTCCAGAAGTGGATGATTTCCAGCTCTATGACTATTTCCTAAAGAGGTACCCCTCATGTATTGACTGCAAAATAGCAACAGACCTGCTGGGATATTCCAGGTAATGCCTGTGAAAATGTGTAATGCTGTTAATATTTGCTTCTATAAGTGATATAAGAGCTTGCTTTGGAACTGTTTCTGCATTTTCTTCAGAGCCAGGAAGATAGATTAGTCTCTAGCATTACTTTTTTTTTTAATAGCATAGATCCTTGCATTTCTAAAACTTCCTGGTTAGTTTAAGCAGTTAATGTGATAAGCTTCAAGTTAGCCATATGCATATCTGCATGAAAGAAATTGGATGGTGGGGGGAGAGCTGTGCACTGATACCTGTGCTGCTGTGCTTATATACAGCAGTGTGTCCACTTAGTCATCTGCAGTACTGAAGACAAAATAATTCCCTTTTTACATGTGGGAGAAAAGCATGAGGCCTGGCAAGTCTTTGGGGTTTGGGAGACTGAACCTATTAATATTAGTAAATAAAGCCTAGCAGAAGTTACACTGACCAGGCAGTGAGTGGACGATGCTGGTTGTAATAAATTAATTCAAGAAACTTAAGAGAAAGCAGGTATAAAAAGAATGTTAGTTCTGTACAGTGGTAGGAGTGGGTGAATACTGATAAATTAACTGCTGTAAATGCAGAAATGTGGAATCTGATTACTTGCACAGATAGCAATTAATGTATTGTTTCGCTGGCTCTCAGCAAGTTGCATCTTAATGCTATCAAAGAACAAGTTTTTTTGCTTCTGGCCCAAATTTTTAATTTGATGAAAGCATCTTCTGTGCATGTGCACATGCCAGAGAGGTTGCTTATGCAGTGGAAGCCATAGTAGCTACTATCTTCTGGTTTTGTATAAGACAGAAATTGCATTTGTTAGCTTTGTAACTGTTATGCATACTAGAATTTGTTTTCTCCCTTTTGAAAATTGTAGAGGGTATGCCTTTGTCAGATTTGGTGAGCAAGGTGATCAGATGAGGGCACTGCAAGACTGCCAGAATGCACCAGGTCTGGGGGGAAAACGAATCCGGCTGAGCATAGGAATTTCTAAAAGGTAACAAATGAGTTGTGCATTGATACAGTAATTCTAAATAATCAGACCCTTGTAGCTCTGCCTTTGTAAAGTCTGTGGCCCTTGCTATAACGACTGTACACGTGATGCAGTCTACAAAACCAAAAATACAGAAGCATTATGTTTTGACTCCCTGGATCCATCAAGCTCTTTCAGGATTGCTGGGGGAATCTAACCTTTTAAGTCTAGCCAGCTTGTGTAACTTAGGCTTAGCTGCTGTTGTAACTAGCCTTAATTCTTGCAGTAGTGAATCTGAATGCATTCATAAATATTCTCCAGGTTTGGGCATGAAGAAGGTAGAAGGGACAACAAGTGTTTTTGTATGCTAGGGAGCTTTTCTTTTAGACCTTTTTCTCTAGTTTAGGCAGGGTAGCACATAGCTAGTTTTACAGTAGACTGGCAGAGGAAGGAACTCTTTAAGTGGAAGAATATGGAATGTAGGGGGGAAGAAGCCGAAGGAGACATTGCTTTGGAACAGTTTGTTTAGAGTACTGTTCTTTGCTTTTCATGTGATTGGGCAGCAGGGAATTTCAAGTTAATTGGTTTTGAAGGGTTTTTTACTCTGCCGTCTCAGTTCTCTGTCGGTTACTTAAGGCAATTCAAGACTCTGAACAGTTAGAGAATTGATACCAAATTTGATAAACTTTGATCCAGGGTACAGACAATAGTAGAACTTTAATATTAAACAATTGCAGTATAACCATGAGGTTAGCTTGTATGTTCTGTTAAATAGTAAAAATAACAGCTTTTGTTTCTCTTTACCCTGGATAATTCTGCAAATGTTGCCTGTCTGCTTTAGAATGGAAATGCTCTTACCCAAGAGAGCACTGTCCAGAATTGCTCTGACTACATAATTTTGAAAATAAGAAGAGGTCACAAAGAAACAGGTTTCTTCATGTCTGCTATCCAGAAGAACGTCAGCAGTATTTTCAGATTTTTTTTTCCTATCAGAGATGTATGTAGGGTAGAAGTTGGAAGCAGAAGACTTTAAGACATTATGTAGTCATTTGTTTACTACAGTAGCAAGACAATGGAATACTCATTTATTAGAAAGTATGTGTAGCTTTACAGTAACAAAACAATTAAATGTAGGTATTGAAATACACGTCACTAATCTATATCTGCTTCTGAATGGCTGAGTATTATGCTCTCCTAGCATCAAAATATCCAGCCATCAGAGTAGTTTGTCACTAAGTCACTTGCCTTGAAAACTGAGCTCCTTCACTTCACGTTCTTGACAACAAGCCTAGATGTGACTTCTCTGCATCTCCACTTAACTACAGGGAAATTGGGACTCTGCAAACGCAGGAGGTCTGCCTGTACATAATCAGTCAAGAAATGTCTTAAGTGTAGAGGATTTTTTTGGAATGTGCAGCTGGGTTATCTGAATGTTTTTTGTGTAGTGTACCTCTGTTTTAGTACAGACAACACTTGTGCGTTGATTCCTGTCATTAGTGTGAAGTTGTCCCTGAGAAAATCTACTCAGGAGAGGGAAAGTAGTGAAAACTAATCAGCTGGCCCTTTGGTCTTCAGAACCAATGAGTTTTGTCATTTTCCTGCTGCTTTGGTAGTACTATGGCAGTACTAACTTCACCTGACAGCTATACTTTGCCAACTGTGCATGGGCTAAAAATTGAGCAGGTGGAGGTAGACATGGTAAGCTCACAAGCAGTGTCAGATGCTCCTCTGAAACTGATAATCTGACTTCACCCCCTTCTTTCTGGAAGTAATAAGATTGAGTATTAGCCAAACAAAAGATAGAAGGACTAATTAAGACTGCATCTTTAAAGCAGCTGTGCTTGATAAATGTCTCTGATCTTAATAAATTAGTTTTTAGCAGAGCACAAAGATTTACCAGCAGCTTGCTTATACAGATACTAAAAATACTCAAAATAAATACAGATAAGTGTCATGGCTCAGTTAATTCATGAAAATAATTACTTGTGGTATTGGCAAAGATGAGAACATTCACTTCTGTATAGAGATGAGATCTTGTGCTGTGACTTAGACTGTTGCTTAGGCAACTATTCAGAAAAACTTCCTTTTAAACTTTGAAATGCGTAAGCTGGCAAATTGTTTAACTTCAGAACTGGGTTTACTGTTTATTATTCTCTAACTGTATGTAATTTCTCATGTTTCAGACTGAAAGCAGAATTCCAGCGGTACCAGTCGTACAACTATAATGATTATTACCAAGATTATCAGAACTACTACTCACAGTGGGGTTATGATCCTTATACTGATTACAACTACAGCTCCTATGCTCCCTATGATAGCATGCAAGCTGTTGGAGACTGCTCTTTAGGAGATGCTGTTATGGCTCCAGCTGTTTTTGAGGTAAAGATACTACACACTTGCTTTAAAGAAAAAGATTCACAAATAGTAAGTTGTATGAATTGTGTAAGTCAGAGCAAAAAAAGTCCTAAAACTGAAATCATGTTCTTCTTAGTATGGAGGTTAGAACAGCAGGCTTCATTCAGAGGTTTCTTTAAGTGCTGAAGTAGTGCATCTATAGAACTAGATATTTATACACCACTTACTGTTCACGGATGCCAAATAACAGTTCTGGCAGCATAATTGTGTAGGCTTCCTCTCTTCCTGTTTTTTCTGATACAATTTGCTTAAAGCAAATTAAAGAACTAATTGTGAGATGGTCTTATCTTAGGTCAGCCAATTTATCAATTACAACTTCCAGAAGTCCCTTCCAACCTGAACTATATTATAGTTTGTTTTTTTGAGAAAACAAAACACCACAAAACCCACCAAAATGAAATAACCCACCCCCCAAAATCCCCAAACAAAAATCCCCAACCCTCCCCAACAAGCACAACATTACCCCCTGCCTATTCTTGTAGTTGTGGGAGGAGGGAATGGTTTGGGAGTACAAAATTATTTTGGATTTGTGATGCTTTCTGAAATAGTTTATGATTAAACTGAAGATATTTTCTTCTTTTCTTTTTTAGGAAACTGCAGCTATGACTGAAATCAGTGATGACCTAATAACTGAAGGTAATGATGATTCTATCACTGCAACTTGAATTTAGCCATACTTGTGCCCTTTAACAATACAAGCCAATGACTGTTGGGTGAATGTCTTGGAAAGTCAGCTGATGTAGTGGGATCCTCCATGGGTTATAGCTGAGATGAGGTAGGATTTTATAGCTGATAGTGTACACCATGTCAAGTAGTGTACACCATGTCAAGTAGAATGGGACATTGTCAACACCACTGCCCAGTAGGTTTCTTCTAACTTTGCCTTCATTCTCATTTCAAAATGGTCGAATACAGAATTTGTCATATCTTTGTATTGATTCCACTAAGTGTATTCTATGTTAAAATCATTAATAGGCAAAAGTAGTGTTTTCCAAACACTGAGGTAAAAGCTTACATTGCAGGTCCTAAAAGGGGGATCCAACTTGTACTTAAAAGACTTGGTACAAAACTTAATTGTTTGGCCTGGAAGGTTTGCAGACAGTTCCTTGCCTAGAGACGTCTTGTGTTAGTGTACAGGAACTTTATCCTGCATAACACATAATGTAGTAGATGTGAATTAAATTAATTTCAGGAGAGTTTCATGATTAATTATCCTCTTTATCTTGAAATACCAATACATAGTCCTACCATTCTAATACACAAATTCCAGAAGAAGCTGGACTTGTCAGGATTGCTAAGATTCTAGATGAATAAATGTCTTTATACTAAATATTACTTTTACTGTTAAATCTATTAAATTTAGATAGAATACATTTTTATTAGGCATTTACTGCAGGTTTTTGTGTGCATGCCTCCCAGGACTTGACACCTGTACTTACCAGGCTTTTATTTTCAGATCCACAGCTTTACTTCGATGTTGATGAAATGAACAGACAATTTATGGAGACAAGTGAAGAACTCTATGATTCCCTCATGAATTGTCACTGGCAACCTCTGGATACGGTCACTTCTGACATCCCCCCCGCTATTTAAGTGTCTTATATAGCATGACCGTTATGACCAAGGTGCTAAAATTACATTTCTTCTACATTACTCTAGATCATAAGTTTTAAAGCACAATGATAGGTTGGGTTTTTTTGCTATGCTTTTGACAGTTTCTGTAATTTTTTTTTTGTTCATCACTCTACTCTTGGAGCATCTTGAAATCATGTAAATATTCTAGAAATGTAAAGAGTTCAATGGGGTCTAAAGATAGACTTGCCTGTGTAAATAAAATTTTGTTTCTGCAAACCTGCCAGCAAGGGATTTTACTTACATATGTGAAGCACATTCTCTTCTGGCTTGTGGAATTTAGCTGGAGGCAGTAGGAGTATGTCACCTGTCTTTTGGTATGGTCATCAAGATGCTAGCAAAAACTAGCTCTCGACGATTTCCAAGTTACTTAGGCAATCTTCTCACAGGCTCTTAACACGCTTGCTTAGATTATATGCGTGTTTGGGAGACACTCCCAGGGTTTGCTATGGGAGCCCTTGGACCCACTTTCTCCTGCAGTCTGCTGGCACCAACTTCACTACTGTTGATCTGTTAGGTCAGTTAAAATTGCTTTATCAATGTGGTATTTTAAACATACAGAAGGGCAAACTTTCAGCTGCCATAGCTGCGAACATTCCAAAGACTGAGAATGATCCCTACTGACAATTTTATCCCTGCCCTCAGTGTTAGTCTTCTCCACTGACACTTTACAGCAAAAAAAAAAAAGGTGTAACATAATACATGTCCCTAAAACTGAAAATCCTTGGAGAAAATTAACTTTCTGGTTTAAAGGAGGAAAAATAACCCATTGGGAATAAAAAGCTATCCTAGTAACAACTCTTCAGCTAAGTTGCACCCTATCTTAAACATGTCTGATCTGTTCAGTCTTCGTGCTCAGGTGTTTTATAGTGATGAGGTTATAAAATTTTAGTAGGGTGACAGTTTTCAGTATTCAAGTCAAAGGAGATTAGGGGAGAGAGCAATGAGGAAAGCTCTGCTTTTAAGCTAGCAACTTCTGAGCAGCTTCCTCTAAACTGTTCCTGTCTTGAAGGGTATAAAGTATTTTCCAGTCACAGGGACTACTTAAGGCCCTGTGTATGCCTAAGTATTTACTACTTGTTTCTGGCCTTATTTTAATAAGAAGACTCTTCCAAAAAAAAAAAAAAGTAGCAGAAATTATCATAGCTAATAATGTGGAAGCTACTAAAGCTAGTCAAGACACTTCAGTACTGCCATGTGAGTTTTGGGGGTAGTCTAAACCATAATTGTTGTGATGGCAGATAGGAATAAAGTTCTCTGGCTTTTTTTATGACTTAATGTAATTAAAGTGGTGGTCATAACCTATATGCTGTTCTTAAATGTAAAACAAATACTGTATTGCAGAGTGATGACTCAGCGCTGGCAGGTCATTTCTAGCTGCTGACCCATCTTTTCCCTTCACAGTTTAATTTTGGCTAGGAATATTTGCAAAGTCCTGCCCATGAAATGCAAATGTTCTACAACAGAAGAGGCTTTTGGAGTACTATAGGAAGTTCATTCTTCCTGGATTTTGTGCATGTATATGGGTAGGAGGAGGCAGAAAGCAAAAAAACCTCATCTAGGCAGGGGGAGTAGCATCACAGTTTAGCAACTGTTTTCCTGCTTTGGAGAGAAATAGTTGCAAGGTAGCTGGGAACATGGATTTCTTGGGTGCATGTTTCCCTTTGTGTGAACTGGTGAGTCTTTGTAGGGTGATGGTAGGGGGATTATTAAGGAGAATGTGACTGGAAGTGGAATAAAGGAAAGAGAGCATGTGAGTGGGAAAGGGGGTGCTTGTGTGCATGTATAGAATTGTTTCAGGGGACTGCAGTAGGGAGGAAACTCAAGATGCTAGATGCAGGCCCCTGGAGTTTGGATGGGAGTGTTAAAGCTTCAGAACTGTGCAGGATTTAATGCCGCTTCAGCTGCAGTGCATGGCTGTGGCGCTTGAGCTATAACTGCTCTGCTGAGTGAAGGATTTTGTATCTAGCTAGTACCATCACCGTGAGCAGCAAGGCAGCTTCCAGGTCTGCGCCTGGGTTATGTCCTGCTTTGAAGTGGCTTGTGTAGCATCACCTAGCACCTTACTGAAGTTGCAGCAAGAAATTTGTGGAACCCTTTTATTGCGTTATCAGTTAAAAATGCAATGCTAAGGATGTGTGTTGGCTCAGCAGAAATACTATGGAGTATCTGTGCTGATTTTTGGCATTTGGAGGTTAATCTATGTGTAAACTGTGTAGTGAGAGGCCCACGTAGCTATGTGGTTTCACTTAGCCTGACACTGTATCACCACAGTTCACAAACCTCAAAAAAGTCACAGTCTGTGACCACCCCATTTACGCAGATTTTACTGGTAACAGGGTCTCTACACCGTTGCAGCCCGTGTGATGCTGTTCTAAAATAGCTCTCCGACCTCCTTCTCCCTCCTGAGCCTATTCCTCTTCCCAGTTAGGAGTGTGTGCATGGGATCAGGGTCGTGTGCCCAGTGCACGGTCTTTACTGTGAAGGCATACTGAGTGCAAAATTTCTCCCTGTATTGGCGTGTTACTCGTGAACCCCAAATACGGGAGAAAGTGAGTGCATCAGAGCTGTTAGAATGCATTGCTGAGGCTTTTTACCAAGTAAATTCAGAGCTGTTCTACGAGGACCAGCCTGCATCAGCTGGCTTACACAAAGAGCTGAAAGCATCGTGCAGGTGCCTGCCATCATTTCTACAAAGATCTGATTGCAGTGAGAGCATTTAAGAGGGGTGTGTGTGTGTGTGTACGTGACGTAGAAGCAACTTTTTCAACACCATGCTATTTCACTTCTTCCAGTTGTGCTTTGTCTCTGTGTTACCCAGCTGAAATGTAGGTTTTCTTCATTTAAGATTGATGAAGGGTTTTTTTGCAAGAATACCCAGTGTTGGGTTTATGAACTCTTCATTGCACCGAGCTGCAATAGATAGTGCCTTTACTCAAAACCCACTAATTTCTTCAAGAAAAGTAGTGTTTTGGTTTTCTATCACTTCTCTGAACTTTAGCACGATGGTTTGAGGGGTTACTAATCCTACAGTCAGTGAACAGGGAGGAAAAAAAACAGGCCAAAAAAGGTAGAGAGTGCTTAAAACGGTACAAGAAGGTTAAATGGTACTTAAGGCATGAATGTTTCTTTTTGCAGGGATGCTCTTGGACCAACAGCTTCTTTCTAGCGCTACCTCAAAGTAACTTGCAGATATAACTCACAGGGAAGATTGATCAAATGGTGATGATCCCTATCATTCTGCTGGAGAGAGAGAGAGATCTATTTGCCTTTTGTTTTGTCTCATTTCTAATAACATTTATTTAACTTCAGTGACTCATGTCAGTAGACGTTGTTTGACTACATGGACAAGTATTTCTGAGTCATGAGCGTCATTAAAGGCATGTCACCATATGGAAATTGTTCTAAATAAGTAAAATGGAAGTAAAATAAGTAAATAAAGCAGCACTTGAATTTACGGAGCAAACATAGTGTAGCTGCCTTTGACACATACATGGAAGAGAAAATCGTGTTTACAGGTTACCTTAATTTACCTTGCGCTCATCAGAAAGAGAGAATCTGGTTTTAAATTTGCCCAGCTCTTGCGTGTCCGGTGGAGGAGTGGATTTAGTCAGTTCCCATTTAGAAGCCAGTGTTATGGCTGATGAACGCGTTACCAAAGCGCATGGTTTATCTCCCTTTTTAAATCTTGTTCATCCCATAATGGAAATCCATCATGATTACCCTTCCTTCCCCTCCCCTAAGTTGGAATTCAGCACGATAGTTGTGTCCTGGACAAAAGGAGTTACAAAGCCAGGCTAAAATACTATTTTTTTCTTGTATTTTGATGATTATATTGATGAAGATCTTTTTCGACAAGCATATTGTAGAAGTAGGGCCTCATCCTAAAATTGGTCCGCAGAGGTCACACACTAGCAGTTTATGCGAGACGAGGTGGTTCTTGCAGGTGACCTCCAAACCCATGTGTTCCACATCCTGGCAGGGGTTATTGGTCACTGCAAAGTCATCCCACGGCACGTAAAACTGTATGTACGGTGGTGGGGGCAGGGGAGGAAGAGACTGTGGCGTTCCCAAGGTGCCACTTCGTGAGGAGAAATACCTGGAAAGCAGTCCCACTCCCCTGGGATTTCAGAATCACAGAATCATAGAATGTTTTGGGTTGGAAGGGACCCCTAGAGGCCATCTAGTCCAACCCCCCCGCAGGAGCAGGGACAGCGCTAACCAGATCAGGTTGCTCAGAGCCCCGTCCAACCTGGCCTTGAATGTTCCCAGGGATGGGGCCTCCACCACCTCTCTGGGCAACCCCTTCCAGTGTTTCACCACCCTCATTGGAAAGAATTTCTTCCTTACATCTAGTCTAAACCTACCCTGGTTTAGTTTAAAACCATTACCCCTTGTCCTGACACAGCTGGCCCTACTAAAAAGATTTTCCCCGTCTTTCCTATAGGCTCCCTTTAGGTACTGAAAGGCCGCAATCAGGTCTCCCCGCAGCCTTCTCTTCTCCAGGCTGAACAAGCCCAACTCCCTCAGCCTGTCCTCATAGGAGAGGTGCTCCAGCCCCCGGATCATTTTTGTGGCCCTCCTCTGGACCCGCTCCAACAGGTCCATGTCCTTCTTGTGCTGAGGGCTCCAGAGCTGGACGCAGTACTCCAGGTGTGGCCTCACCAGAGCAGAGGGGCAGAATCCCCTTCCTCGACCTGCTGGCCACGCTTCTCCCGATGCAGCCCAGAGTACGGTTGGCCTTCTGGGCTGCCAGCGCACATTGCCGGCTCAGAAGCGGTTATCTCCTTTAGAGAACCGTGAAAGCGGGACTGAGAATGGAGGAGGGAGTGCATCACGTAGGAGAGCTGGGAAGACACCAGTGGGGTTAAAAAGAGCCACTACAAAAACAGGAAGCAAGGACTCTGCAGCATGAAACTCCCCAGTAAAATTCCTGCTAAAAGGGGCTCCTTCCCTGTTCTTGCTGCTCATTCGAAGTTTCTTCAGGCCTTCAGCATCACCTGCATTGGTTTGAGTTCCCCTGAATCCCCGAGCTCGATTACGCTCTTTCTTCAGGTGTTTGCTGTGACCCATGCTTTTATTTTTGGTAGCGGGGCGTGCACTACATCACAGCTCTGCTGTCTTTCACTGTTAAGTGCCTGTCTCTCATTCTGTACCGGTAATTTTTTTAATACATTCTGGTTTTTTAGGGTGAATGTTTTTATTGACTTCTACATAGGGGCAGTGGTTGTGTTTTTTCTGCTCTGCTCCATCGTTCCCAGGGTAGACCAATGCTCTAAATAAGACATAGGGCCAAAGACTTTTCTCAACTTTTAGTAGAATAAAAAAAGAAACTTAAAAATGTTTTAAATGTAAAATATTTAATAAAACTGCATTATTTCTCTCGTTCTGAGGGAGAAAAGGCTGTGTTGAAGCTTACCCCCCTCCCTCCCCCCGCTTCCAGTCTGCCCTGCAGGTTGTCACCTCAGTTGCTTGCACAAACACGAC